GCTGTTTGGCCTCTCTCCTTTCAGGTTGCACAACAGTATTAAATTCTGCTATATTCTTACCAAAAATGCGCAAGTTTGAGTAGATGTAATTAATTTAAAACAAATTTCTGAGAAGTTTCCTTTTCAGATCTTCTTGATAAAGATTTTAGTACCAAAAATACATAGCCATCCCCGCAAGGCTCGCAAGTTATTTTCGGTCGAAGTCGAGCAGGTGCTTGAAAATCTAGTCCAGGGCCTAATCACTCCCTACTCTTGACAGTATATAGAAAAATCGGCACGCCCTAAATTTTAATAAATCTGGTCAATACAGGAAATGTATACATGTTGTTTTTCATTTCAAAAAAAAAAATTCAGCTCCAGTTTCGTATCAAAATGCCCGCATCGAAAGGGGAGATTCCGGGATTATTTTGCATCAGCCATGATTTGACGTGGACCCAAGTGAAATACTGTTATGACACCTGTACAATGATGTTCAATACTACAGTTCAGGAATTCACAATTTATAATGTAAGAACAATGATTCCTACTGAGAATAATTTTACTTTATTATGAGTTTTAATAGATATTTGAAGTCAAAAGCGGTGAAATCTCCATGGGTTTTTTTTAGCTTACATAACTTCCAAAGGAACTTCGGGTTAGGCTAATTATATAGTATTCAAAACATTTTTCACACAGAAGGAATATCTATTGAATATCAGTTGTATAATAAAAATGTTTATAAAATGTAAAAATACGTGTAGCTATATGTCTCCGCTATTTTTTCTTATTCATCGCTTTTAATTTAGTAGTTCCAAAACCAGATCAGACCAAAACCAGCAAGCTCTACTAGTATGATAGTGTCGTTTACTAATTATTGAATTAGAAATTCAAATAATGAGTACACGACAATCGTATTTCCAACTCGGCCTATGGCGCTTCTTATCCCAATGCTTCCAATGCGTTTGATAAGGGGAAACCGTTTTACTTTATAAGCAGAAATAAAGATGCTCAAAACAACTTAAGATATTTCCTGGATTTATTTTAGTATTTCTTTAGGACTACAGTTTGGTCTTGACGGCACGGCTGTCCGTCTCCAACTGACTAACAAAAGACAAGTTTGAGTAAAAACAAATTAAGCACAAAGAAGAAATTAAGTGTCACACAAAGAGATAAGATAAAAGAGTGACATTCTATAGATGGACAATTAAATAAACTTGTCACATTAACAGCGTTTTTAAAAATCACCCGTAAATCCTTGTCGTGGTCAAGGTGTGAAAATTACTTTATGGGATTAACTCTGTTTAACACCAATTGATAATTTGATTAAATACAAAATGGTTCCCGTGGAATGTAAGATATTTTGCTAAACAAATACAGGATCAGAAAGCTTTCATAAAATTATCACAAATAGCATCAAAAATAACTATAAAACAAATCAGTAATTATTAGGAATATGAACATTTAAAAATCGTGTAATTTTTCATCACGACAAATGTCGTTTACTAATTATTGAATTAGAAATTCAAATAATGAGTACACGACAATTACCCCTTTCGCCACGATAAGTTTGGTCCCCAAACTTGAAAACAAATTTTACAGTTTTTATTTAATATCGTCTGGGATTGCCACGATAATAATTTTTGGAAGTCCGAAAATGTCCATGGTTCACGGGCACCTGCTGTACACTTGGCTGAGCCGGTGAATGGCGATGGTCCTCACGCAGTAATTCCCGCCGAATCTGTAGAAGACTTGATCGGAGGCCTTCATTGGAAGTTTTTAAGCTTTCGTTTTCCTCTTTAAGTTTTTGGTTTTCCGACGCGAGATGTAGCTCTTTGTTTGTTGGACTCACTTGTTGCAGAGTGGCAATGGTCTCTTCATAATTTAGGCAGGTTTTCTGGTAACTTGAAATAATTTCTTCCATCTCTCTCATTTGATCGTTTCGACTGGTCATTAATGAAAGTAATTGATTGTACAATTCGTCGTTCTCGGTAATAACATCTCTCTGTTTTTGGACAGTTTCTGTCGCTTTTTTAGTTAAAGAACACTGCTTATTGTATTTAGTTTTGATCGCTTTTAGCTCAGTTTTCAAGTTACCTTCAAGATCTAAACACTGTTGAAATGCGGTTGAACTTAACGAAGAAAAGGGCAGCAATCGCATGGTGTTCTTTCTGTCAAGGTAGTTCTGTAGACGCTTTTTGTTCCTCTGTTGTACTTTTTCAGGTTTGTTGGGTATTGGTGTCGATCGTTTGGAACGGCATACTCGTCCAAAGTGTCCAAATTTTCCACAATTGTGGCACTGCTTTCCAATAGAATTGCACATGCGGAATGGGTGACATTTTCCGCAGCGTATGCATGTTTCAAATGGGTTCTGCACAAACGGACAAAGTTTAAAACTCCGCTGTATCCATTGTGGTCTGAAAGAATACATGATTTACCGAAATATCCGTGTTACAATATGGGGAACTAGAGTCACTCGCTTGGCATTATTTAGAGAGATCCGGGATCCATGTTGAACACAAGTTGAACATGACCACTGTACTCCACCAGTAACGTATTTCCAACTCGGCCTATGGCGCTTCTTATCCCAATGCTTCCAATGCGTTTGATAAGGGAAACCGTTTTACTTTATAAGCAGAAATAAAGATGCTCAAAACAACTTAAGATATTTCCTGGATTTATTTTAGTATTTCTTTAGGACTACAGTTTGGTCTTGACGGCACGGCTGTCCGTCTCCTGACTAACAAAAGACAAGTTTGAGTAAAAACAAATTAAGCACAAAGAAGAAATTAAGTGTCACACAAAGAGATAAGATAAAAGAGTGACATTCTATAGATGGACAATTAAATAAACATGTCACATTAACAGCGTTGGTTTTCCATCGGATTCTGTTGATTGTGTAAACGACTCTGTTGATTTTGTTTTTCAGCATGTTTATTAAATAAGTTATCACTTTTGCATTAACGTCTTTTTTACCCTTTCCGCCGCCCATATCAGAAAACCACATCCCTACAATTGTCATTATTTTAGTTTTAGAGGGTCATTTTTCTTCACTTACAGTATACAGGTATTAAAATTCATGCCACGTTTTAACTTCCAAAAATAAACTAAGAGGTTCATTTCTACTTTTTCGACCTCGAAAAACGACTATAGGTCATAATTCTCCGGGAGTCATTATTCCTGTAAGCATCGGGTGCATCACATGAAAATAACTGATCACAAAAATATGAAGTGCACTTAATTGTTCAGTTTGTTATCTTAAAACAACATGATAAATGGCTCGCTATCAATATTAGATGTACATGTAAGAATGTGCCTGATTTTTAAAATTCGATAAAGGCTTACTTATGTATACACTCAAACAGGTACACGTAACATTGCTTATTTATGATTTATTATATGTCAAAATATCAATTTACATGTGTATGCTATACCATTCCTTCAACTGGATGTAAAATGTAAAGTGAAGAACTTGTTGTTGTTTATTTAAAAAAAGAAGTGCTTCAATGTCGTTTTTAGAAAAAATATAAATGATTTGAAAAGAAATATTGAAATACCTAGCGCCAAATTGCGCTAACTTGATAAAATGGACACATATTATAAATGTTCTTTATTAATAGCCTTCTTTTAAGCCCTTTCATACCACTATGGCAACGGCGAATGATGACAACAGTATATCAGGTACGTCCTTTTTGAAACTATTAACCACATAAAAACTTTTAACTTGTTAACAAGAAAAAATGGCTTAAGAAAATCACTTGATATATACTTAAGTTATGATATGTGATTACTATAGTTATATTTTTTATTGATGGTTGAATGTATTGAGAGAAATGATTTAGATGTTGTTGCAGAATACGAAGAATACAAGTGGTGCACTCAGGATTGCAATATAACTCTCCGACACGCACCTCACATTGGTATCCAAGATGAGTATGAGAATGTCGTTGAATGGCTTACTTTTTCAAAAGGTATTTAAGCTTTTTCATGATTATTGAACTCCCGCTTGAAATGTGAGAGGGTATATAGTGAACAGGTTGTCCGGCTGCCTGCAGTCTGTTTCGCTTTGGAGTACCCATTTTTTATCCGCAACTTCTCTTACAATAATACCATTGTGAATTTTATTATACCCCCCGCTTGAAAAGCGGGAGGGTATATAGTAATCGGTATTTCCGTCCGTCTGTACGTCTGTCCGTCCGTCCGTCTGTCCGTCCGTCCTTCCGTCTGTCCGTCCGTCCGTCTGTTACGCTTTGGGGTACCCATCTCTTATCCGCAACTCCTCTCATACCACTGAAGGAAATTTAATGAAACTTTCACAGAATCTTTATTACATATTGCCATTGTGCACCTCCTATTTTACTTTTTGATCTGACATATATTTTGGATTTTCCAGAGCAAAACATGGATACTGCCAATATATTCATATGGGAGGCGGGGGGTATCATTTAGTGAGCTCATTGCTCACAGTACCTCTAGTTTTACTTTTTGATTGGACACATATTTTAGGTTTCCCATAGCAAAACATGACTTGGTATTTCTTTCTATAATATTGAAAGGTACCAATCTCCTATCCGCAATTCCCATACCACTGAATAAAATTATATGATACTCTCATAGATTCTTCTCAAACGTTAAACTTCCCCCTTGGGTAGACTCTTTTTGATATTTTAAGGGGATGACTCCGGATTGAAAGTATGGTTCAAGAGTTAGACATGTCCCCAGGGAAAAGGTTCACTCTAGAGCAAGACTTTCGTGGGAGGTTGAGTAGGGATGGCATGAAGGATATGGGGATAACGAATAGTATTCAATATCAAAGTCCAATATTCAATAGTATTCAATATCAAAGTCCATAAAACAATACAATATAGGAGCAGAGTAAACACGGAACTCTAAAATATCAGAGGTGGGATTAGGTGCCATAGAGGAGTGAGCATCCCCTGCTTACCGGTCACACCCGCCGTGTGCTCCTTGTCATGATCTAGAAATAACGGTCCACTGGTGAGTTCCAAAGCACCCAAAAGCTGAATATCATTTTATGGATGCGGGATTTGTTATCTAGTACAAATATTATTCTAATTAGAGTATTACATGTATATGCACTGGCATCATTTTTATCAGGCTAACTAAATTGGATTGGGTCTTGTGGCTTTTTAGCTCACCTGAGCCGAAGGCTCAAGTGAGCTTTTCTGATCAAAATTTGTCCGTCGTCTGTCGTTGTCGTTGTCATAAACTTTTCACATTTTCATCTTATTCTCAAGAACCACTGGGCCAATTTCAACCAAACTTGGCACAAAGTATCCTTGGGTGAAGGGAATTCAAGATTGTTCAAATGAAGGGCCACACCCTCTTCCAAGGGGAGATAATTATGAATTAGTGAAAAATTAATAGCATTTAAAAAAAATCTTCTTCTCAAGAACCACTGGGCCAGGAAAGATGAAACTCATGTGGAATCATCCTCAGGTAGTGTAGATTCAAGTTTGTTCAAATCATGACCCCCGGGGCTAGGGTGGGGCCAAAATGGCCGACCAAAGTTTTACATAGGAATATATAGGAAAAATCTTTAAAAATCTTCTACTTAAGAACCACTGGGCCAGGAAAGATGAAACTCATGTGGAATCATCCTGAGGTAGTGTAGAAATCATGACCCCCGGGGCTAGGGTGGGGTCAAAATGGCCGACCAAAATTTTACATAGGAATAAAAAGGAAAAATCTTTTAAAAATCTTCTTCTCAAGAACCACTGGAATAGGAAAAATGAAACTCATGTGGAATCATCCTCAGGTAGTGTAGATTCAGGTTTGTTCAAATCATGACCCCCGGGGCTAGGGTGGGGCCAAAATGGCCGACCAAAGTTACATAGAAATACATAGAAAAAATCTTTTAAAATCTTCTTCTTCTTCTTACGAACCACTGGGCCAGGAAAGATGAAACTCATGTGGAATCATCCTCAGGTAGTGTGGATTCAAGTTTGTTCAAATCATGACCCCCGGGCAAGGGTGGGGTCAAATGGCCAACCAAAGTTTTACATAGGAATATATAGGAAAAATCTTTTTAAAATCTTCTTCTTAAGAATCATTGAGAAAGGAAAGATGAAACTTAAATGAAATTATCCTCAGGTAGTGTAGATTCAAGTTTGTTCAAATCATGACCCCTGGGGTTAGGGTGGGGCCAAAATGGCTGACCAAAGTTTTACATAGGAATATATAGAAAAAATCATTAAAAATCTTCTTCTCAAGAACCACTATGCCAGGAAAAATGAAACTCATGTGGAATCATCCTCAGATAGTGTAGATTCAAGCTTGTTCAAATCATGACCTCTGGGGCTAGTTTTGGGCCCAAAATGGCTGACCAAAGTTGTACATAAGGATATATAGGGAAACCTTTTAAAATCTTCTTTTCAAGTACTTCAAAGCCATGATTAGTGATATTTTTCTATTTATATGGAATCAACCTCAGGTAGTGTAGATTCTACATTGCTCAAATCATGACACCCAGGAGGGTTAAAATTCAAGCCCCCCCCCCCCCAGTAAACTTTCAGTTTTGATCTGATATGTGCTTTTTCCTAGTAGATGTGCTCAGGTGAGCGATGTGACCCTTGGACCTCTTGTTTTAATTAAGTGTAGTCGATGGAAATTCAATTCTAAATTAGTTAAACTGTGTTAATCTAATTTCTTCAAACAAATATTTATTTCGTAATTTCAATAGTTAACCCACCGCGGAAAACAGTTCCACTGCTAAATGGCTTGATGTTCTGAGTAATCAATTTTTAATCAAGGCAGGTAATTTACATATAAATTGATGTTGCAGAGATTTCAACGGCCACATTAAAACTCGCATTTTGTAAATTAATTGGTTTTTATAATGACTTTGATAGCAAATATACGTATCTCATCACTTTGGCGCTTTTTGGCTGACTTGTTTCATCCAATTGTTTTTGTTTTAAATTTGACTAAGGAATAATCGAAACACAGGGATCATGGTGGGTGAGACCGGTCAACAGGGGATGTTTATCCCTCCTAGTCACCTGATCCAATCTTTTGTAATTTCCATGGGTCCTTGTCCATGTCCTGTTCAAATAATATTATTGGTTTTGTTCGAAGTTCGAGAGATCGATCACTGTGCATTATTCTCACTCATTATCTTTGGCCATTCAAATAGGTTATAATGAGGAGTTAAATTTCTTACGTCTGGTTTTCGAAAGGGGGAATTTGAAGGCAAAAGTGCGAAAATGCAAGTACTTTAACCTCATTGGAACACATTAAAAGGAGTTGTTTGGGGTTGCAACAGAAGACCTATTGTTCTCCAGTAAATGGAAAGTTCGAGATATCACCTTCATTGACAGCTGCAAAACGATAGCGTTGTATTTTTTTTTTAAATATTTGTACGAGTCTTTGAAAATGGTAAATAACTCAGATATGAAAAACAAAAACGCTTCAGTGTGGTGCATTTTGTGTATATAATATTTTCATAGAGCATATCATAAGACAATTGAAGGAAAAGAATTCATTGATTAAAAGAGTAAAAAATCAAGCCCAAGTCGTACTTTTTTCATTCACGACAGACTCGGATGATTTTTTTCGCTTGAATATAATGGGGTTACAAAAAGTCAATAATTTGTATTGCAGTATGCTTTGGTTTTGATAGTACATTAATGAGAACAATATTTTTACTCTTCTTTAGATATGGAAACGGTATTCATTCCTGGCGAAAGACGAATACGGATGCCTATTAAAGAATGGCAGGGTGGTGATAGAAAAGAGAAACATCTTCTTTCGACGGAAATTGAGAAATTATCTCACAAAATAAAAGAAACCTCAATAAAACGGATACTTATTCCTCTGGTGATTACAGGATCCGGATGGCCTGCTGTTAAGATACTGCAACCGTTTTTGTTTTACATACATTTATACAGAGGATGCACACTCACATTTTGCCATCCAGACGAGAGGGAATTTATTTCTATGATGAAAATAATCGATAGTTTTCTGAAAGGTGAATAATTTTAAAACATCTACTAAAAAGTAATGATATATATAATGTATAAAAATTGCATTTTCTTTTGCATTTAGTTAACAAACTTTATTTTGTCTTTTTTTCTAGGTGTAGAATTGAAAGAAAAAGAGCCTGAGGTAAAAACTTTTTAGATTCAGCAACCAACTTTAGATTTAAAATTTCGTCAGATTGTGTATCTCTCACTTTTAAGTGGTGTCTCATTATGGGGGAGATGTTTGCTCTGGTCTTATTAAGCTCAATGCTTACACCTCTAGTGTATTATCAAGTATATTAAGTTGTTTCAAGATATATCCTTATTTCAATTATTGTTAAATCGTTCATTTGAAGAACTTAAACATTTTCCAAAAGAAGAACAAAAGAACAACAATCATTTTCCAAAATATGAATAGACTTTTGGTAAAACTGTAAGAAGAGTTCAGGATACCAGGCTTTTGCAGAAATACATCATTTTTTAATATCTATAGTTGACCCTGAAGTAAAATTGAAAAAAAAAAATTCCGAAACCTTGGTGCAACTCTAATGGAGTCCAATCATATTCTGAAATGTTAATAGACTGCTGAGAAAATGTAAGTGGAGTTCAGGTAACCAGTTTTCGTTGTAAAAACCTCCATTTTAGTAATAATTGTCGTCACAGTGAAAATAAAAATTTCGAAACCTAGTTGTTCAACTACAGGAAACCCAAAATATGACCGGTCTATTCATATTTAATGTGAAAAATCTAAGAAGATTTAAAGAATCCCACCTTTGTTTATTTTTTATATGTCATATTTGCCCCCATTTGGCCCCCATGGTAAAATTGAAATAAAAAAAAATACAAGACATCATCAATCATATTCCAAATGATAAAATGTGCAATTAAAAAATGTGCTTCAATCGTAGTGGACCGTGTTTTTTTTTTTACATTTTCAGGCACAATCTGACACTCTTCTTGTGGCTCAACATTATATCGAATGTGCAACATGTGGAGAATATGCAAAGCTTTATTGCAATACATGCCATAAGAATGTTTGCGAAAAGTGTGCTGACGCCCATCTGAAAGTTGAAGAGTATAGCGATCACGAGATAGTGATATATAAAGATAGGAGACGACAGATACCCTTGGAAAGCTGCAGAAGTCATCCAGGAAAAAATTTAGATTTGTGTTGTTTTGAATGTCAGAGAGCCCTTTGTTCAAAGTGTGCCACAAAACTTGACCACACAGGTCACAAATTTCTCGATTTAGAAATAACTTACGCTGAAAAAATTCAAAATGCTGAAAAAATAATTGCCGACATTGAGAATAACCTCATTCCTAAGTCGGAAAAATATATTTCGAAAATCAACCGAAAAATTGCACGGTTTCAACGTCAGTCAGTATTTGTTCGTAGGGTAATGGAGGACGATTTGCAAAATATAAAGAGAGTTGTAGAAAAAGTCTACAAAATGAAACTGATGGAACTAGAAAACTTGGAAAAGGACCTTTCTGATGAACTCAATAAAGAAAAGAAATTAGCAGAGGGCTATTCAGATTTTTTGAGCCAACTTCTGGGAAAATATAAGGAAACTATAAAACGCAAAAAGCCTTCGGAATTAATTATATTGGTAAACTCTACTACTATTCCAGAGATCCCTAAATCAAAGAAGGAAAAGGATGTTGTATATACAAAAGGAAAATGTTTTACAACAATAACAAACATTTTTGGAAATCTTTCGGTGCAAGCGTCAAAGGGTACCAAAGTCTAATACGAAAATTATTAACATGCAGTTTTCTCCAGTTCCTGGACATCACTGATTAGTTATCTTTGAATGAATATATATATATATATGGTATATATATATATATATATATATATATATATATATATATATATATATATATATATATATATATATATATATATATATATATATATATATATATATGTATACACCAATTTTCAGTTAGATGATGCATAGAAGGTGCTTTTTTTCATGTTCACTGAAAAAAATATTTTGAGATATGACGATTTTTCCCACTGTATTATGATTAAAAATGATGACTATGTAGAAAAAATACCCAGGTACCATGAGTAAATCCAGTTTTCTTTAGAATTGAGAAACATTTCTATGAACATTTTTTTAATTACTAAACCACTGATTTGCCATACCTGAGGATCGCAAACCTTAAATGTTATATAACCTAAGGCCCTGTTGACATTTCTGTTCATAAAAGGGCAATGGAAGAAAAATAAGTCGCCCGAGTGGCACAGAGGTTATTTAAAGATTATGCTTTAGAATCGCAGAGTAAGGAGTTGATCCGTACGTCGCGGGTTCGAGTCCAACTCTGGGACGTGGAGACCGGACCATATAAACCGTGTCGCCGTATGTGCTGACACGGAAAAGATCCCTCATTATTCAATGGCCGTAATTGCTGTTTAAAGAGAGATGATACAACCGGAAAAAGATGCCTGGATTGGTTTATATTTCTGGGCCTATTTTTATTGCAAAAAAGCAACTAATAAGTTATCCTTATTAATCTTTACAAATATTTTTCACTTCAAATTCCATTTTTGTGAAACTTTGCATAAAAAATTTAAAATCGATACAGTTCAACTTGTTAATTTTACTCACTGAAACATGACTCGTGTTATTTTAATTTTTTTTTTAACAAAAGTTTGTATCTTCTGTCCTTAAGACAAAATTTGCATCTCTCTATCGGCAAGTGGTTGCGTCTCCATTTTAGTTAAGGATATGGAGATAACGAATTAAACAGTATTCAATTTCAAAGTCCATAAAACAATACAAAATAGGAGCAGAGCAAACATTGACCTTCAAAAATCGAGGTGGAATCAGATGCCATGGAGAAGTGAGCATCCCCTGCTGACCGGTTACACCCGCCATGTGCTCCTTGTTATGATCGGAAAGTAACGGAAAAATCCGTCGTCAATTCAGTGTATAAATAATGGACTAACAATATGTATGAAAAACGTCAGTTAGCATTTGACTCTAAGATAAAATGTATTTGCTGACAAGGTCATTGTACTAACCATAGAACTTACGAAATGATGACCGCTTATATTATTGTTTCATCAACTTGTTTGTCCATAATTCACCGCGTTTTCGAAATTGTTCATACATAGAGCATGTTCTTGCGTATCGAATCAACTGAGATATATAAACTCCGTATGGAGGTGATGAAGGTATATTACTTTATAAGTAAGGGAGGTTGACGATAGAAAAGCTATAAAGTTATCACGTTTATTATGAGGCTTGGTTGATAGATAACTATTAACGTCCTTTTCAATTTAAATATTCAAGTATGAAACAGATATATTAGACTCTGTGGTTTCTTCTATCTCAAGCTCATCAGGATATTGACATAGAATGGAAATTACCATCGTTAATTGACAATACGTTTTCTTCTTTTAACGCATAAGATTTTGCATAAATTCTGCTTCATGTGAATACAAAAATGGGTCTACTAATAAAGGAGCGCAATAGGTATCTATGAAAACCCCATGAGATTGGTGGATGACCTAGTCCCCAAAAAACACATAGATATTGCCAATCAGAAACTCAAGCATCTTTTTCATGTCAACTTCCGAGTACTTTTGTGTCCAAATAGAATATTTTTACAAAATAATTTTGAAAACGACCAATGACTAGGTAAGTAAAGGATCGAGTTTCATTTTAGCTGTCAATGATATCAAAAAGCCTAGACTTTAATTTATCGTGGTAAATAGTTGTGTATAAAGTTGAAAATTCGTAGGTTTTCAAGTGAAAAATTCTTGAGAGGGACATTAAACAACGTTTGCATAGGGAAACGTTAAAGTCACCTCTTTTATCATAAATTTTGTTAAAATACCGTTAAGACCTTTTTTCTAGTACATGCAAATATATATATATATATATATATTTTTTTTTTTTTTTTTTTTTAATATCAATTGTCACATCATTGTGTTTACAATATCAATACATCATTAATACATATAATAATCAAATACAAAAAATATAATAGTGACAATTGAATAGGGGAAAGAGAAAGAAAGGAAGAGAGAAAGAAAAAGGGGGTTGAGAAATGGTAAAGAAACTAGAGCATGTTCATAGGAGTAAAGTTGTGGCATATGTATGTCCAAGCATTGCAAAAGGTCTTTAGGTGTCTGGTTTCAGGGTCTTACATGAGTGAAAGCCAGTCTTTCCATTTAGTGTTAAATTCATTAATTTGATTATTCTTTGTTGCACTATATTTCATCGTAGATAGTAATGTTTTAATATCTCCACGTAATGCTTGTAATCTCAAAACCTCATTTCGGCATTTATTTCTATACATAAATGATTTAATACATAAAAATATTGTATTTAATTCACTATTGTTGGGTTTTGGATTTCCAAAAATGAAATTAGCACTATCGTTTGGAAACTCTATATTATGAGCTTCACAGAGAATAGTAAAACTATGTAAAAGCTCCTGAACCTTCTGGCATTCCCACATAATATGAATAATTGTTTCCTCACATGTCTCACAGAAGCTACATAGTTTAGTATCCTTCAAACCTATTTTATATAACGTTTTATTTGTAACCAAGATATGCTGATTTATTCTGAATTGCAGCCATTGCAATTTAGAACTTTTTGTACATTGAAAAGGAATATTGTATATCATTTCCCATAGGGTATCTTGAATTTCAAAATGTTTACTCCATTTTACTTTTGAAAAAGGTACTATGTGTTCTGTATTCAAAATTTTATACATAGCTTTTGTTCTATTTTCATTTTGTCTTCTATATTTTTGAAAGCAATTAAAGTATCTTTCCAAAAGTCATTAGTTATACTTTGTAATATTATTTCAATATAATTTGAACCAGTATTAAATAGCTTTTTGATATTAAAAGATTTTTGAACCAGTGATCTCCATTTAGAATCCTGGCCATTGAGTAGTTTTTTAATCCAAGATGATTTTAAGCTGTTAATGTAGTTATTTAAGTCAATCATATTCAATCCTCCACTCTTGTAATCTTGAGTAATTTGTTTTCTTTTTATCTTGTCCACTTTTGATTTCCAAAGAAAATTAAATAGAACACAATTTAGATTTTTAACAAAATTTTCAGAAGGTGAAGGTAAAGCAATAAAAAGATGGTTTAATTGTGATATTAATAGTGATTTTATCAGTGAAATCCTACCCAAAGGAGTAGTACGTCTTTTACTCCACTGTAGTATTATATTCCTAATTTTGACCAATTTCTTGTCATAGTTGAGTTTTGGAACTCTATTTAAGTCACCATCAAAATAAATACCTAGTACTTTAAATTGTGTTGTCCATTGAAAGTTCATTTCATTAAGTAGTTTTTCATTTGAATATTTTTTACTTCCTATCCAGACTATTTGTGTCTTAGAGAGATTAATTTTAAGTCCTGATAATTTATAAAATTTATCTATTTCTTCAATGCAATTTCTTAAGGATTGTTCTGTTCCATCTAATATAACTAGTGTGTCATCCGCATGTTGAGACATTAGGTATTCCTCCCCATCAATTTTAATCCCTTTAATATTTTTATTATTTTTTATTTTTAAAGCTAATATTTCTGCACATAGTAAAAATATATATGGAGAAATTGGATCACCCTGGCGACAACCACGGCCTAGTTTAAAGAAATTAGATAGGTGGCCTGCTTGATTAATTGCTGATACAATATTACATTGAAATAATGAAACCCATCTTCTCAGAGAAGGACCAAAATTAAAGAATTTTAGGGCTTTATCAATAAAATTCCATGACACTGTGTCAAATGCTTTTTCAAAATCAATCATTAACAACATTCCAGGGATATTTCTTTCTTCTGTATAATGCATTAGATCATAAATTAACCTGGTATTTTCTCCTATGTATCTTCCGGGTACAAAACCTGTCTGGTCTGAACTTATAATTGTATTCAAGATATTTTTCATTCGACTTGCTATACAGCCAGAAGCTATTTTATACACAACGTTTAATAAAGATATCGGGCGCCAATTTTTTTTTATAAAAAATTTTCTTTTTCCTTCTTTAGGTATACAAGTGATAATTCCCTGTTTTTGTGTTACAGAAAGCTCTCCTTTTTTGTAAGCATAATTTATTGATCTTACTATGAAATTTCCTAACTGTTTCCAGAAAACTTTGAAGAATTCTGTTGTAAAACCATCGCTTCCAGGACTTATATTATTTGACATGTTTTTCAAAACTAGTAATACTTCATTTAAAGTTATCTCCCCTTCAAGATTATTCTTTTGTGTATCACTAAGTTTTTCTGCAGCAATGTCCCAAGTATGATCACTTAGATCAATATCTGTCATCTCAGAATTAGCCTCATAAAGTGTTTTATAATATTTTTCAATTTCAAGAAGAATATCTTTCTGATTTGTTATCTCGGAATTAATTGATTCATCTTTAATCAATTTAGGGATTATTTTATTTGTATAGTGTCTGTTCTCAAGGTTTAGAAAGTAATTAGTAGGTTTTTCTCCTTCATTCATCCATTTTACTCTAGACCTTATGATATTCCACATAAGTTTATGTTCTCGTATATTTTCCAATCACAATTCTCTAAAAATATCACTGAAATTATAATCAGAGATTATTTCTAAAACTTTGCTTCTTGCCTTTGGATTGTTAATATGAAGATAATTAAAATAATCTTTTTCTGGGTCTAAAACTAGATTAAAATCTCCAACCAAAATAACATCTTGATTTGATAAATCCTTTATAATATCTGATAGTCTTTCATAAAATGAGGGTGTGTCC